CTCCCTCCCTCACTCACTCACTCACTCACTCACTCACTCACTCACCGTCACAGTAGCTAACTAATGGCTCCGGTGCATGGAGCTCATTATACCCAAGACAGTTTCAAATTGTGTGCTATGAGCAAGTTAAGGCTTTGTAAGGTGTCCCAGGGCACAATAAAGTCTACTACGGTATCACTGGCAGAACCTTCTGCCTTGCCAATCATCTCACACCACTGTCACTGATCACACTTGCCAGTCAAACTTTTCTTTGCTTTTCTGATAATTAGAAGAAAGTGAACTTAGGTTTTATTGACAGATTTTGTCCTTTTGAGCGTCCCGCCCATGTGGGTTAACACTGCAGAGCAAACAGAAGCCCTGGCCTCTTGTAGCCATCTAATGGGATCTTGTCAAGCCCATCTGAAACACACCATGTGCTGCTCACACTTACTCCTTGTCTGCCACCGATTTATTGCATTTCTCGGCTCAATAAGGATCTATGTCTCTTCATAACAGGCTTGCTAGGAACGGTTTACGTGTAAGGCTTTCAGATGGTTTCTTATGGGCGAAAAGTGCCCCCTTACTTTGCAAGCCGTCTTCTTACAGCAGATTTCAAGGCTTATAGTTGTGCATCAGGTTGTGAAAGGACAGAGGTTTTGTGGGACAAGTGCTTCCTGAGAATCTATAGAAACATTTCCCTGCTAGAGTGGGCTTTAAGAAAGTTCAGACAGCTTTCATTTGTGGCTACCACAGACCAAGACTGAGCTCAAGGCGAGGATGTCCCAAGAGCTCAAAATGCTTGATGAAAAAAACACAGCATATATCCCCACTGTTTTGTTGAAATCTGCACTTGTGACCGATTATTGTCCACTTACACTTTAATTGGGGTTCCTTTATGTTACAAGAAGGTGTTTTCTTTGTCACAACCGTTTCGGTGTCTTGATGGATGTGTTTCTGTATTGTGGGACGTCTGCTACAACATGCTCTGAAAGTGGTCGGCTCTAATGCTGGAGACTGGATTTTGTGGGTAGTTATTTTGAGTGGCTTGAAGCATCATCCTTTGTCAACAGCACCACAAATTGGACAGCAATGTCTGACTGGAAGTTTTACCCTTTTGTGCATATGTCGGCATGAATAGCATTGACTGGAGTGTGAAGACATTATTCTGTAGTGTGAAAGCAATTTGTTCCTTGCCATAATTGATGAAAAGAAATTACCTTCGCTGGTGTGTCAGCTATATTGGTTGTGGAAGGAACCACTTTGTGATCTTCTTCATCCTGGACATCATCAAACTTGTCTGTCTACGTGCTTTCTGGGAAATAGTCTACGATTACATAAACACTTGACTCCATCTTCCTGAGTGCTAGAAGCTAAATCAGCCCTTCAAGATATTAAGAATATAGGCCAAATAAACATTGAAATGTTATTGGATTAAGCATGTGTTAGGCTAACATATTATCTATGCAATCATGTTATGCACAAAATATTTCTCTATCTTATCTTTTTCTGTGATGTTGATTTACAGCTAGCTAAATTTGCTTATTTTTATCAATTTTCATCATATTAAATCCAGATGTTCAAATCATGATTCTGGGCTAAATGTACATTCAAAATTCAGTTTCGTTACTATGCACCAGTTCCTGATCATCTTATCTGGTTAAAATTAACACATTTCACGATCTGACTGAACACAACAAAGTAATCAAGTGAATGATTAAATTTTTATATGTACAGACTATACCTTAATGTGAAATAATGTTAAGCATGTAAGCATCTTCTCAGAACAAAGGTCTACCAGTTAAGAAATCTTATCTAGTCACGAAAACACTCACTTGATAAAGGTACCGGTACCAGCATCTGTGCTGAGCCATCACGATGAAAGAGTGAAAGAAGTCCATAAGCCAGCTCAGTATTCCTGGAAAATTATGTTGAAAAAAAACTAAATTGATGATGTAATATGTCTGAATCTTTAGTTGCCGTTACTCAGCAACCTTGCAGGCTCTGATGCTGTGGGGTATTTACTATTTATGAGATGATCAAAAGATGTTTTCAAGAAAGATGAAACCACAGTTAGTGCCTGTGGACATGATTGCTGGTAATTTTGTGCTCTACTACCGTTCATTTGCATCAGTTCAGCCCTGATTGGAAGAGGGCCTCGTTACTTCATACTTTACAGAGGAAAGCATTAAGACGCAATCAGCTGTGAATTTTCCATCTGACTAGTGACAGAATGGTGATTCTATTTACATGATTACCTATCTTCCTGCTCGCAGTATGTGAAGTGGAGATCGGGAATCTGTCACCAGGGGCGAATGCACCATGCTATGAACTGAGAATGTAAAGGGATCCGTATTTGAAAAAAATCCTTATGAAGTTTTTATTTTTGTTAAAGAAGGAAAGTTGCTCCTGAAAATCAAGCACGGAAAGGCTGGGAAAGTTGCTGATAAAGTAGGAAGATTTAGTCGAGGTTCATTTAAATACTTCTGCTTAACTGTGCTTAAGCACCAGCATGAGCAATTTTCAAGCTCTTTGTAAACATGAGTGCTCTGTAATCCCTAGCATTTAGCCTTCAGACAACTGTTTTATGTTGTTCAAAATTGTCCATGTTAATGAATATTTGGATTTTTTTCTGAAGCAAGTTCTGTGTGTGCTGTGGAATACTTTTTGCTGAGGGCTAGAGAAATGCCTTTCAAAATGTTAATTCATTGCCGCACATAAAATATTAGGATAGAAATAGATGGTGAATGTTTTGCTGCAAGATACATTTGTCTCTCTTATGTCATAGGAGGTGAAAATCTGCATGGGTCATAAATAGAACTAAATCCATCAGGATTGTTCATAACTCAGATCAAACTGACATGTGAACAAAGCAAAGCGTTTCATATTACTTTATTAAGTGAACCTAGAGTAATGTCTGTCAGTATAAAGCGAAATTCTTTCTCATTGTCCAGTTTCAGCTGTGATGATGAATGTTTAAAGTAGACATTGATAAGAAACAAAAAGCAAGACCTTCCTCCCTCTACTTCAAAACACACACACACACACACACACACACACACACACACCCCGACAAATCAACATCACCGACTCTTAATTGGATCCCATGATGCACATGGTAGCAAAACGGCAACCATAGACAGTTGGCGGAAAACTCACACTTCAGCAACATTGTTTTTGCCTTGTTAGTTTTTGGCAATGGATCTGAAGACGGCCATGTTAATACTAACGGGAGCTGTGTAAATCTATGGTGAGCAGGCAGTAATTGACTTCTCCTGCAGGAGATACAGCCACTCTCATATCACACAGGATATTTACCTGAATTGTGTTTATGAACCACCACCTGGTTCTAATCACTGGGCTGTAATATATTGTAGATGTTCAAATGTGAGCCCTGATTGGTTGACATAAGCCTACAACCTTGGCGAGTGTTTTGTCATTGGATCGTTTCATTTGGTGGTAACTAAAAGCAGCAGCAATACTGACTATTGTGGAATAACTATTTTCCTGGGCTATAACTGCAGTATTGACCACTGTGGTATAACCATCTCACTGAAATATTGCTTCAGTACTGACCACTGGGGTATAATTATTTTCCTTGGATATATTGACCACTAAGGAAGAACCATTTTCCTTAAGGATATATCTGCAGTATTGACCACTCAGGAATAACCATTTTCCTTAGGGATATAACTGCAGTATTGACCACTGTGGTATAACTCTTTCCCTTGGATTAATGGAAATACTGACCACTAAGGTACGCACCATCTCTGGACAACTGGTGTAACAGTATGTCACTGGGACTATTATACTGACCACTATGGTATAACCAATTCACTGGATTAATATCTACAATACTGACCACTTTGGTATAACCAATTCACTGGATTAATATCTACAATACTGACCACTTTGGTGGTCATGCAGCTGAAGAAGATTTTCAGATTAGGAGTAACCGATCCCGGATTTGTGATATCGCTGTGTATGTTTAGATAAATGAAAGTTGCAAATTCCCAGAGAACCACCATCCAACATACAGCACACTCAACGCTGTCCAAGATCCAGTTCATGTTCTCACAGGAAATTACTTTTCATCCCTGAGAAGAGCTTCTGATTGTTTAGTTTTGAAGTTCAGTTTATTTGACAAGAAACAAAAATAATAACCTACAACTCTGGCAACATATCTGGCAAAGACAGGAACAAGATTATTTCCTGTCAGTCCTTGTGGTTTAAATTAGCCAATATTATTTTTTGTCTGTTGTGTTTATTTTGAGCTGTGAAGAAACACTGTAAGATGCGGCACATCAATGACTGGATTTCCATGCCACTGAGACGTTACACAAGCTCATGCATAGGAATTATTTTTTGTTAGTGTCAGCACAGAGATTGCAGGATCAGTAATTCACCTGCTAACACCGAGGGACCCTGTGCCCACAACCATTCAGCCTGCCCACAATCATCTAGCTTGTCCACTTGATTGTACAACTATGATGTCATCAAACATTGACACAACCACAGGATAACATTGAATAATCTTGAGCTTCGGCACGAATCCGTCAGCTGTTTGCCTTGTAAGTAAAAGTGAGTTTTATTGACAGTTTCCGTGAACTTTATCGGGTCTTGTGGAATTACCAGACACTGATGAAAATCCACCTGAGGATAGCCGTTAACGCTCCAGAGGGCTCGTGACTGCCCATTTAGTCGGTGGATTGATAGATTTTTGATTTGTGGAAATATAAAGATATTAGTGTTGACACATTGATGTCGAAGTGGGACCTCTGGATGTTAATTCACAGGAACAAGGAACAGTGGCATAGTGAACGCTGATTGCTTCATTCGCAGTGTACTGGGTTCTCCTGTAGTCCGGTAATGGATCTTAATTCTAATTAAACTTCGGTATGGGTAATTGATAAGCTGGTGCTCTGTGGACTTGTGATTGATGTGGTAACTCACCACTCTGGTAACAAGCAGTCCCCACTCTCGTCGTTGTCTCTCTGCTTCCTGTGGCTGAGCTGTTCAGGGGTAATATTGGTAACACCATGGATCTCAAAGGATACGTTATACTGTTGGTTGAGACCAAAGAAAACAAGATCAAACTGTTTGGTGAGTATTGTATTATTCATTCACTTTGTGTCTGGATTAATAAGGGCCTCAGATTATACATTTTGAAATATTTAGAAAAAAGAACATTTCAATAATGTTGATAAGTTTAAAATTTATTACTACTTAATGAAAATGTATGATATAGTGTGATTTTGTGTAATAATTCCTGCCCAACACTAAGTGGGCTACTTCTCTATTCATCAGAAGGACAAAAGTGACTTTTGGGTTTATAAGTCACTTCCCTTGGTTGTGCCAGGATCTGATGGTCATGTGTATGAATTTCAGTTTTGCCTTAGTAATGATCCTTGGCGTGTCATATTTGTATAGCATAAGACTTTCCTACCTTAGAGGAAATATGTATATGTTCGGAATCCCCTCACAGTTTCTACAGACTCACTTACCTACTGTACTCGCTCTATTTATAAGAACCTAGACAAGATTGTCAGGAATGCTGTTCACAGTTATTAAAGTTTCACTACAAATGAGATTAGATTGTTTGATCGTGAGACGTGCTGACACTCAAGGAAACTATTTGATTAGAGAACACCAAGTTGGTATTAATAATTCAATTCAGAGTACTCTTCAGTGAGTTCTACAAAGGTTTGTGTGATGTAGTGGTTATTTAAATCTTTACACACAAGGGTGCTAGACAAGTTATTGCAGCATCATTACTTAATTGGGATGTTGGGGTAGCCTAATGGTTAAAGCCTTCCTTCGTCATGCCGAAGACCCAGGTTTGGTTCCCTTCATGGATACAATGTGTGAAGTCCATTTCTGGTGTCCCCTGCTGTGATATTGCTCGTATATTGCTAAAAGCAGCATAAAACCATACTCACTCATTACTTAAATACTATAGGGGTAGCCTAATGGTTAAGGCATTTAAGGTTTTTCTCATCAAAATGAAGGGTTGTGTTTGTTCCCCACAGAGGTACAATATATGAAGCTTATTTCTGGCGTCACTTGACATAATATTGCTGGAATATTGCTAAAAGCTGAGTAAAATCATACACACTCACTATCTCAGTATCATGCTTAATTTGACCTAATAAAGTGTGCACTAAATAGTGGTTCACTGTTTTGGCTATATCCACTTCATATGTGATAAATAATTCTACCTTGTAATTACCTTTTAACCTTTGTACCGGTAAATATGTTTTTGCTTCCCCCGAGCTAAACACCAGGGCCTATATTTTCGAAGCTCTCTTAGCGCTAAGATAGTCATAAGTTAATGTTAATGTATGGCACTTACAACTATCTTAGCGATAAGATAGCTTCGAAAATCTAGGCCCAGGCCTTTAGTTGCAAGGTTTCTTGGATGAGATTTCACCCAGAATAGCTGTGGATTTCTTCCTCTACCTAACCAAATATGAGCGTTAATCAACATCACTGTATGTCAGTGTTAATGTTTCTATCTAAAGAGTGAAATGTTTGAATTTGTCCAAAATGTTTTGGTGCTTATTCCTCAGTCATTATCAGCAATGGCGTAAACAATGAAAAATCAGAGACAAATAGGAATTTTAAAAAATCTATTCATTGTTAAATAAAACTGAATTTAAAAAAGTGTTTGGGAATAGTTCGGGTTTGGCTGTCATTTTGGGTGTGGTTTAGGTGATAATGTGAAAAATCAACACAGGAATTTAGAAATGCAATGACAACACTATTGTATATGTTGGCAATGCACTTTTGAAAGTATGTAAAATGTATTTCCTATGTAATATTTCCTATTAAAGAAATAAACGTGTATTGTCCATGTCATATGAACAGATTATTCTGCAGCAACTTCAGTATATCATTGCAACAATACAGGGCCCTGTTTCACAAAGCTCTCATAAGCCTAATATCTCATAACTTTTCTGGTAGCATTCATATTTCCTATACTGTAACAATGACTTATGATAGTTGTAGCAATGCAAGAGCTTTGTGAATCGGGGCCCTGGAGGATATATGACCAATGATTAGTGCTGTTAATTAGCAATACTGAAAAATGACAGATGATACAAGGTCTAAACTTCTCTACAGTGTCATATCAAGTTGTTATCTTGGAAGTGAAAAACCAGCTATAGCAATTTATACACTGGTTTGAAAAAACTACTATATGCTAACAGTTGATACAATGTCTAAACTTCTCTACAGTGTTATATCAAGTTGCTGTCATGGAAATCAAGTATTGGCTACATGAATGTATACTCTACTTTGAATAAACTGTACCATATGCTAACAGTTGATAATGTATGACCTTCTCTACAGTGTCATGTCAGGTTGCTACCATGGAAGTCAAGTATTGGCTGCACCAATTTATCCACTGTCATACTGACAACCAGCTTGCAACAATGTAACAGACTCCCAACTATCAGGAAAACTCAAAACATCCACCCCAGAGACTGATCAGCATCAATTATCTGCTGAAACTGACTCCTTTCATCATAAAAGGCAAAATAGTGGAGAAAATTATAGGACTGGATCACTGTAAAACAAACATGACACCAGGTGTTCCTGTGTGTTCTTGGAACCATTGTTTCCCCTCACATCAGGTCATTACTCAGTGAGATATCATGACAACAGGTTTTATGTGAGTGGTCTCTAAACACAAATGATGTGCTGTGTGCGTGCAAGGAATTAGTTAACCTTGTTTACAGCTAGCCTTAAACTCGTAGTTTGTCACCTTCTCCACATGATTTATGAGCTTTAACTCACATATAACTAGTTTATTCCGATGTTGTGAAATACCCCTGCTGGGAAAATAAACATGATGTGACTTGTGCCAGATTTTGACCTGAGACTGCAACATATCCCCAATCTATAAGAACATGATATTATATTTTGTTGATTTATTGGAACCTCATCCAATATGTTTCCTCCTGGTGAGTGTCGATGTCTGATCTTGATTGGTGGAATCTTTGAAAGAAATTAACTCTGTATCTGGTTAGTTCAGAAGATTGGCTGAGATCAATATCCTCAAAGTCCCCATAGGGATGGAGAGATTTTAAGGGTGCTTTGGTGAATGCAGTTCAAACACAAGTCCTTGTGAAGAATGGGTAGAATGCATCAGTGATATACTGAGAGAAAGAAATAAAGAATCACAACAAAATTCAAGTGTTCCTTTATATTTTCCAGTTTTCATCACCAGCTTTGAATAGCTGTGGTGATGAAAAAACTGGAAAAGGAAATAAAGGACCAACAAGTACCAATTTTAATGTCTTTTGGTGTGATCCACCTATTTCTTTCTCTGGGTAGATAATGGATGGATTTGAGTTCAGTTCAAAGCTGGTTAATGACATAAGACTTTCAAGTATGGTATTGTAACCCAGGTGTCAGGGGTATGAAACAAGGACTGGTCTGCTTGGTGGTAGTATGTTGTGTCTGAGTTTGGTATCTATGTCAAACTGGCATCAGTCAGGAATAGTATGAGTACACACATGCATGCTCACACTCACACACACACAAGCCTTCAATACCTCATATATATCTCATTGTATAGTTTTCAAAAGGTATCTTGACATCTCATTCTCGTGACATCTCATTCTAACACAGGTTTCCTCTCAGTATCTCATGCTTATCTCATTGTGTAGAGAGGCGATGGCGACGGTGGGGTAGCCTAGTGGTTAAAGCGTTATGCGTCACTTGGTTCGATTCCCCACATGGGTACAATTTGTGAAGCCCATTTCTGGTTCCCCACCGGATATTGCTGGATTATTGCTATAAACGGCCCATACTCAGTCAGTCAGATGCGACTAATGGGATTGGGCGGTCATGCTCACTGACTTGGTTGACACATGTCATCGGTTCCCAATTGTGCAGATCGATGCTCATGCTGTTGATCACTGGATTGTCTGGTCCAGAGTCGATTAGTTACAGACCGCCGCCATATAGCTGGAATATTGCTGAGTTCGGCGTAAAACTAAACTCACTCACTCATTATGTAGATTGTAACATAGGCTGCTACTATCTCTCAACGTCTCATGCTCATCTGGGGCGGTGGGGTAGCCTAGTGGTTAAAGCGTTGGCTCGTCACGCCGAAGACCCGGGTTCGATTCCCCACATGGGCACAATGTGTTAAGCCCATTTCTGGTGTTCCCCGCCGTGATATTGCTGGAATATTACTAAAAGCGGCGTAAAACCAAACTCAGTCAGTCAGTCATGCTCATCTCATTGTGTAGATTCTAATACAGGTGTCCTCTCAGTATCTCATACATATCACATTACATACATTCCATTAAGGCTAACGCTAAATGCTTCAAATGTGTCTCACTGACTGTATCATTTTACAGACTAGTCTTCCAATAACCCATGCTTGTCTCATCGTGTAGATCTAAATACAAGCCAGCTACATTAAACATGGTGTGAGGGAGTAACCTAGTATTTTAGGTGTCATGTTGAAAGCAACTGCCCATTTCATAAATATTTATGGTAGATATAAAATGTAATTGTAAGCAAAATAGTTTATGAGATTTTACTTTAATTGTTGTTGGCAAGTGTATTAACAGTGATTTCTAACCAATTATCCTTGTGGTGGTCAAGGGAGATAACTCCATGGACCCTCCCAACACACTTGTCAAGTTTGTCATTGAGTTCAGCCAGACTCACAGTCCCTGAGCCATATTACGTTTCCCTTCCGTCCAGCCCCTAGCACAATTCAAACACTTTTCATGAAGGAAGCATATTTTATTTAGTTTCAGGATCTCCGAGCTCACTGGGGCTCTTTCTCATTTTAATTATCTGTTCCTACTGCACCTGCTAGTATATTACACTTGTTTAGTTTATCGCATTTAAAAGAGGTGTATTTTTAGTAAGAAAGACAAAGCTGGATGAATGTTGTATTATATTTAATGTTTTATATCAGCAGACGTGTGTGGACACTTCAGTGGACTGTATGCTTGATTGTCTGACATTTTGCTTGAGTTTGATGGTGTCCATGTTGTAGGTTCCCCAGCAGACCGAGCAGAGCTGGAGGTGGGGGATGAGATCATCGAAGTCAACAGCAAGAATGTGGAGAACTGTAGCCACACAGAGGTCATCGCATTCATCCACCAGGTGGGTCTGGCAGATCAGTGTGCAGGGAAGTGGGGTAGAGATGTGGTAGGTGGGGCAGATATGTGGTAGGTGGGGTAGATAGATAGTTGAGGTTAACTGCGAGACTGTCTGACTGTATACATAGCTACTTGTAAGTTGTCACGTTCACTCTGAGGTGGGTCAGTGAGACCAGTAGGTAGATGGGAAGGCTGTATACATAGCCACTCATAAGTCATCATGTTCATCAGATATGCAGGTAGATGATAGGTGGGTGAACATGTAAGTCAGATGGACAGGTAGATGGTAGGTTGGTTAACAGGTAAGTAAGATAGGCAGGTAGTTGGTCAGATAGGCAGGTAGATGGTCAGATAGGCAGGTAGATGGTCAGATAGGCAGGTAGTTGGTCAGATAGGCAGGTAGATGGTCAGATAGGCAGGTAGTTGGTCAGATAGGCAGGTAGATGGTAAGTTGGTTAACATGTAGGTTAGATAGGCTGGTGGGTCAGAAAGGCAGGTAGATGGTAGGTGGGTGAACAGGTGGGTCAGAAAGGCAGGTAGATGGTAGCCGGATCAGATAGGCTGGTGGATGGTAGGTGGATCAGATAGGCAGGTAGATGGTAGCGTGGGTGAACAGGTGGATCAGATGGGCTGGTAGGTGGGTGATATGGGTGAACAGGTGGGTCAGAAGGGCTGGTGGATGGTAGGTGGGTCAGATAGGCTGGTGGATGGTAGGTGGGTGAACAGGTAGGTCAGATAGGCTGGTGGATGATAGGTAGGTCAGATAGGCTGATGGATGATAGTCGGGTGAACAGGTGGGTCAAATAGGCTGGTGGATGATAGGTGAGTGAACAGTAGGGCTGCTCAATATAACCGGTTTAGACATGAAAACGATACGTTTTGCAATACTCGCTGATCGAAAACCGGTATTTTGACATGCATTCGGAAAACCTAGTAACACTCGGAAATCTTCGGATATTTCCGTTTTTTAATTGTTCTTTTCCCTGTTACATTAGTGCCAAATGTTACTTACATTTTTATTTTGTCATGATTTAAAAGTTTTTATTAAAGGTTAATCAATCATAGTGATTTTGTTGTGTTTTTGCTTTATAATCAAGCATTAACTCGATTATAAATAGTTTTTGTTAAAAAAATAATTCTTGCAATATAGTGCAATACATATCGCAATATATGCTTCCGCATCGCAATATATCGCAATATGAAAATTCTCTGCAATAACCACCCCTAGTGAACAGGTAGGTCAGATAGGCTGGTGGATGATAGGTGGGTGAACAGGTGGGTCAGAATAGGCTGGTGGATGGTAGGTGGGTCAGATAGGCTGGTGGATGATAGGTGGGTGAAGATAGGCTGGTGGATGAATAGGCTGGTGGATGGTAGGTGGGTGAATAGGGTCAGAGTCAGATGGGCTGGTGGATGATAGGTGGGTCAGATGGGCTGATAGGTGGAGATAGGCTGGTGGATGGTAGGTGGGTCAGGATAGGCTGGTGGAACAGGGGTGAATCAGATAGGCTGGTGGTGGTGGTGGTGGGTGAACAGGTGATAGTCAGATAGGCTGGTGGGTGGATGGGCTAGGTGGGGTGAATAGGTGAGTCAGATGGCTGGTGGGTGGTGAGGTGGGTCAGATAGGCTGGTGGATGGTAGGTGGGTGAATAGGTGGGTCAGATAGGCTGGTGGATGGTAGGTGGGTGAACAGGTATAGGCTGGTGGATGGTGAACAGGATGGTAGGTGGGTGAACAGGTAGGTCAGATAGGCTGGTGGATGACAGGTGTGTGAACAGGTGGGTCGAATAGGTAGGTGGGTGAACTGGGGTCAGATGGGCTGGTGGATGATAGGTGGGTCAGATAGGCTGGATGGTGATGGTAGGTGGGTGAACAGGTAGGTCAGATAGGCTGGTGGATGAATAGGTGGGCTGAATAGGTGGTGGGTCAGATAGGCTGGTGGATGATAGGTGGGTGAACAGGTGGGTCAGATAGGCTGGTGGATGATAGGTGGGTGAACAGGTAGGAGTCAGAATAGGCTGGTGGATGGTAGGTGGGTGAATAGGTGAGTGATAGGCTGGTGGATGTGGTGGATGAACAGGTGGGTCAGATAGGCTGGTGGATGGTAGGTGGGTGAACAGGTGGGTCAGATAGGCTAGGCTGGTGGATGGTAGGTGGGTGAACAGGTAGATAGGCTGGTGGGTGAATAGGCTGGGCTGGTGGATGGTAGGTGGGTGAATAGGTAGGTCAGATAGGCTGGTGGGTGATAGGTGGGTCAGATAGGCTGGTGGATGGTAGGTGGGTGAACAGGTAGGTCAGATAGGCTGGTGGATGGTAGGTGGGTGAACAGGTGAGTCAGATAGGCTGGTGGGTGAATAGGTAGGTCAGATAGGCTGGTGGGCTGGATGGTAGGTGGGTGAACAGGTGGGTCAGGTGAACAGGTAGGTCATAGGCTGGTGGATGGATGGTAGGTAGGTGGGTGAACAGGTCAGATAGGCTGGTGATGATGATAGGTGGGTGAACAGGTGGTGGGTCATGATGGTGGGTGAATAGGTGGTCAGATAGGCTGGTGGATGATAGGTGGGTCAGATAGGCTGGTGGGTGAACAGGTGGAGTGAGATAGGCTGGTGGATGATAGGTTGGTGGATGATAGGTGGGTGAATAGTGATGATGCAGGTGGGTCAGATAGGCTGGTGGATGTCAGATAGGGTGGTGGATGATAGGTGGAACAGTCAGATAGGCTGGTGGATGGTAGGTGGGTGAACAGGTCAGATAGGCTGGTGGTGAGGTGAGTGGTAGGTGGCTGGTGGATGGTAGGTGGGTCAGATGAGATGGGCTGGTGGGTGATAGGTAGGTCAGATAGGCTGGTGGATGGTAGGTGGGTGAACAGGTAGGTCAGATAGGCTGGTGGATGACAGGTTGGTGAACAGGTAGGTCAGATAGGCTGGTGGATGATAGGTGGGTGAATAGGTAGGTCAGATAAGCTGGTGGATGATAGGTTGGTGAACAGGTAGGTTGGATAGGCTGGTGGATGATAGGTTGGTGAACAGGTAGGTCAGATAGGCTGGTGGATGATAGGTGGGTGACTAGGTGGTCAGTTAGGCTGGTTGATGATAGGTTGGTGAACAGGTGGGTCAGATAGGCTAGGCTGGTGGCTGGTGATAGGTTGGTGAACAGGTAGATAGGATGGTCAGATAGGCTGGTGGATGATAGGTTGGTGAACAGGTAGGTCAGATAGGCTGGTGGATGGTAGAGGATTGGTGGATGGTAGGTGTGTGAACAGGTAGGTCCAGATAGGCTGGTTGACAGGTAGGTTAGGTGGATCATTTGGAAATATACTGGTGGGTGAATAGGTAGGTCAGAGGCAAAAAATAGCAGATATATTTTTGACAGGTTTAGTAATTTGGTGAGGCAAAAGCAGTATATTTTTTACTTGTAATTTTGTGAATTAATTTTTGTAGTTGAACCAGAGAAAGAGTGTGTTAAAATGGTTGAGGAAATGCAACCAAGCTCATTTTTTAAAGTGCACAAAACTTGCAAGAAGCATGACACATTAGAGATAAATGGCTAGCAACGTTCACTTTTAAAGGCGAGATGCTTATCATTTCCACTCAATGCAGTCTTGAGAAGAACAGATGTCAGAAAAATCACCTCTATTCATATACACAAATTTTAGTCAAGTTGATATTTTTCATCAATATTTCATCCTATATTATAATATCAAAATATAGGAAAAAGATAGTTAATTGTTTGATCAGCATTCTAGAAGTTGGTGAGTCAAAAATGAAACATACAACTTTATGGATGACAACTTCTTGTTTATTGCGTTAAGCGATGTTTCAATGTAGATTCTTACATCGTTATCAAGCTAAAACACAATAAACAAGAAGTTCCATAAAGTTGTATATTTCATTATTAAAGATAGTTAACTTTCTAAATTCAATACATCAAGATCTGATGTGTACTGTCTATGAACACAAGTTATTTGAAGTAACAAAATAATAAAAATATAATTCTGAAGACTTAATAGACGAGAACATGTATGGTCATGTTGCTGAAGGACTGAGAGTTAAGCTGTTCACAAAGGGTTAAGTTAATTGTTCTTCTTCATCCAGTAGGGCATGTCACTTGATAGGGAGAGAAGCTTTGTACTCGACTTAAAGAATGTGTTAATACTGGCCCTATGAATGAAGTATTTACAGGTTGTACTATTTTCCTCATCAGGCTTTAGTAGTTTTCCAGTGTTCTTTTCATTAATTCTGATTTATGTAATAATCTTTTTTAAAGCCATCAGAGAACTATCAATGTTGTAACACCTGTTGTAAATATATTTCATTTGTATAATGTCATATTTCAGCTGTGATTAATCTGAGATAATAACCAATTAAAAAAAAATCTGTAACACATTTTTGAATAACTTTTTGTTTGGTTTTGGAGTTTATAACCAATATTCGCAGTAAATGAATGGATATTATGGATTATTCTGTTTAGTTTGTATTATGGGAAATTTAGGCTGTGATTATTTTGAGATAACAACAGATTGAAAAAGATCTTTAGAAAATATTTGATTTTTTTGTCATTGGATTTAGATTTTATTGAAAAATATTTAAAATAAACATATTATGGATTACTTTATACATATTGTATATTTTCTTATGGTCAGGAGGTACACAGTACCAGATTTCTATTTGTTGAATATATGGATGCAAAGCAAATATTACAAAGCAACATCTGCTTCCAATCAATGTGTTATCAAACACTGTTTATAGTCAATAACCTATGTAACTGCATTGCTTTCCTAGTGCCGTGACAGGCTTACACACCTTTCAGCTTGCAGGCTGGAATTTCTCTTTAACTCAAATTTTTTAACAATTTAAAGGGATGCATGCTTCAGAGGTTGGTCCTCAGACTTAACCAGGAAAGTGAGTGACTTTTAGCCCATTCTAAAGATCAAAAGATTTTATGACCTTAGGCAGAGGCTTAGATTTAGAACAGGCAAGTAAATATTTACAGTGTTTCTATTGGCTGATGGTAATTTTCTCTTTGGAGCTAATGTCAGCTACCTCCCTCCCTCTCCCCCACCCCAACTACCTGTCCCTGACAAGTGAGTGGGAGCTGAGGCAACGCTGCTTTCCCCACCCCCTCCCTGTTTACCTTTGTGCATGCTGCAAGGGGCACTCTGGTTGACCTACTTTGGGTATCCGCCATGTTGAATTATTGGCATAGCTGAATGGTGATTACAGGGAGCAAAGCAGGAGAGGGTTGACAGAAACATGGACTTGATAGAAGCCTGTTACCTCTAGGTCTCTCTCAGGATACTAAATGGACAATACAAGACACTTTTAAAGGAGTTTGGATACTTTGTTTGTGTGTTTGGACTTCAACTTTTATCCAGGTGAGTCTTCCTTGCCATGACTGTGAGAGCACTCAGGTGAGAAAGTTTGGTAATGGCCTGCCTGTCTAATGTCCCCCATCGGTTTTCAATCCAGCTGGGCCCCTCTCTCACTCTCTCATTTCTCTCCACAGTGCATCCGATCAAAGTCCATCTGTCTGAGAGTAAAGCGACCCAAGAACCAGCAAAGTGAGTTGAAGACTGAGTTTCTGGGTTGTTTGTTTTGGTTGTGTATGGTCAGGTAGGGTTGAGAAATGGCTGTTCCACACCCAGTGGAGGGATTGTTGCCGACATGTGTAAGTCCTGGTCTGTCTGACTCACCGGACAGCTTGGTGCTCAGCCTGGGCTACACAACAGTGGCAGACAGGTGCTAATTGCAAACTGATCACACGGTTAGTTGAATGGGGAGATTACAGGTGTGTTCAGGTATTGTTTTGGAATGCATTATTTTTCATGTGTCAGTTGCGTCATACCCTTGGGACCTCCCTGGAACATGTTGGAACTAACTCAACTCACCTCACCTGACATTCCAAAGATGTAGTTTACATGTATAATTATTATACCTGTGAACACCTGTCTAAGGCACCAGGTATAATGCTAAGAAATATGGTCTATACTATTACTGTCATCTGTTGCCCACAAAGTTTATGTTCAGGACTAACAAAAACTCTTGTGCTGGATCAACCTCATACATTGTATCAATGTTGTATAGTTTACTTTTTATGTATTATTTCATTTCAGATCCTATTCCTTTACTACTGGTAGTTTGTATTTGAACCCAGGCCTACACAAATAACATGATTGCATGAGTTCAGGATTGAGGGCTGTAGGGTGTATGTCCAAACTTGTATAGAATGGAGTTGAAATGCGGGATAGTAGTCAAATTTGTCCAATTAAAAAAAAATATAAAAAGGTTGACATATAAACATTTGAGAAGGATGGCAAAAACAACATTTGTACATAAGATTTACTTTTTTTGTATGATGAGCATGAAGCATTGTATGGACCAGAAGTAATGATAGAGTTTTACAACATATTATGCCTTGAGGTACTCTTGTATATTGTGTGTTCATCATGAATGAATCCAGTCACTGTTGGCAATTATTGGTCAAGGTGAATTATTGTCCAGTCACACTGCACTGATGTAAGGTATATGTCCAGGTTTTATCTCCACTCCTAGTATACAGCTGGGAGGGAGGATGGCCTTCTGGCTGGGCAGTAGCTTGTCACACTAAGCTGACTGAGTTTGGTTTTACGCCGCTTTTAGCAATATTCCAGCAACATCACGGCGGGGGACACTAGAAATTGGCTTCACACATTTTACCCATGTGGGGATTCAAACCCAGGTCTTCGGCGTGACGAGCCAACGCTTTAACCACTAGGCTACCCCACCGCCCCCACACTAAACTAAATATCTGGGTTTGGTTCTCATCTTGTGTGGCCTGTTTCAGGCATCCGACACCATTAGGGCTGTAATATTATTGTGGAATGGAGGTCCGACTGCTAATGCATGGTCCCATCACCCTGACAAACAGCAATCTTTAAAACACAACAGACAGGTTACGTGAAGGTACTAGCTCAAATCAGGAAGTACATCTCATGCTAAATCAATTGTTATCTGTTTTTCTTTAATGTGTCAGAATTCCATGTAGAAACCTTCCATGAATATGTTGAATCTGATGAGGAAGTAAGAAAATTACTTTAATTTAGTCTTTTCAACTATGATATAGAGTTTGTCAAAATATTTCTGACTTAGCACCTAGACTTTTTTTCTATATGTTTTCTATTTTGGCAGTTGCAATAAAATTGCTTGGATAAATGCTACTATAGGAACACGCCTTCGGTATGAGTTGCTGAGAAGAAAAGCTGCTTAACGTTCTTCTTTGAAATATCAATTTTGATTGTGGTTTAACCTTCGCATCCATAGTCTAGCTTCATTTGTCCTCACATAACAAATGCTTTTTTTTTAAGCTCAGAGCTGAAATAGAACTTGTCATGTCTAATTAGGGATATTTTTTACAGTTAGTTCATAAAGGTCAAGGCCGTTTATGGCAATCCTTTGTCCGTGCCCCACCCACTTCAGCGGTCCATGATTCCCGCGACACCTGATCGTAATTACACAAAGAATAGGTTTGGTCTTTATAGACTGTACAAGTTGTGTAGGTTACACACATAATGATACGTCAGAGTGTTGTAGGTCAGGATATGCCTGCTTGCCTGCCATGTCACCTGCGTTGTCGCTAGAGTTCGGGTCAGCTTTGTCCCATGTGTAGTTCCCTCAGGGTGGATTCTCAGCAGTGGTCGGTCACGCTTGATGCGGTCGATTGAAGGGTCAAAGCAGGAAGGTATGTGGGCTGTGCATGTTCAACCTTCATGTTGACTCTTCTCAGAAATATGTGGTGGACATCACCATGGATGTTCGGGTAGCCTGGGAAACACTGTAATAATGGCTGCCCACGGAGACGATATCATGGTTCATGGACTTTTGACAGTTAGCATGTACTGAAATTGAAATCCGTTGACTAGAAATTTCTATTTATAATCCATGAATTTGAAGTGTTGTAGGTGATTTTCGGACGAAAAACGTACATGTTTCTTTCAGTGAGCCATATGACAGCACAGTCATTAACAGAAACAGGTTAGACCCTGAGATATAAACTATATAGGGTATATATGTGATGGAAAAGAGCTATGTATCTAATGCTCAAATGTCTGAAAAAATCAGGCTATTAAAAATATTGAAGAAGCTAGTAAAGTTTCTAGCATGATGTATCAGTGTGTCACAGGTAAGCTGAAGGGCAATTATGATGAAATATTGCTTCACCGGATCTGGTAGGTTTGTGGATAGAACACTTCACAAAGTCGACTCTATCTGTGGCAGGTTTGATGGGCAAGCAGTGTCTAGGGGTTGTAGTAAGACTTCTTGTTAGTTGCTAGTCAGAATGTAAAAAGTGATACCTTCCAGGTATCAGTTTTACACTGTCCTGGAGACATTTTACCTTTCACGTGTCACCTTGATTGAGAAGGAAATGAGACTAAAACTGTTAAGATTTCATTATAAAATATGTTAAAGAAACTTCTACATTTATAATTATTTTAGCAGTTACCATGGTTACTCTTTGAAATATATTTTCAGGTAACATATGATGTGCCAAAGTGCTTCCTAACATGCTTTTTAAGCATATTCTTCCCGTTTGTCTGGTGAAAGTCATTTTGGGTTTGAGAGATCAATTTGTCATTTTAAGAAATCACTTTTGTCATATTATAATTATGATTTGTAAAATCATACAGTGATTGTAATGTCTACATGGTCTGTTTAGTTTGCAGGTGCATTTTTGTCCATATTTCATAGCTTCATCGTTTCAGTATTCTTTACCTGTATCAACCTGTCCAGGTGTTCTTGAGTACCTGTAACTAACGGCCCCTCTCCATCCTGACCTCTATAGGACTAGGAGACCGGTCCATACCTGTACTTCTAGGATAACGAACTTTCTCCTAATCATCTCAGGTTCCTCCCTACATTATCTCATTATGTTCGTTTGTTTAAGGATTTAGTTTGTGTCCCCCATTAACAGGTAGCCAGTCTGTCATTGTCCAGACTCTGTACACAAGGCATCTTTGTCGAACATAGTTGCCGATCCAGCATCCCATACCACAAGACAAGCAGTGTATGTCAGTCTGCTAAGGATCTACTACAGAGGGGTGTCTTTGTTTCACTGTGTCTGTGTGTGTGGTGGGGGTGAGAATTCTAGAAAATTAACCATGTTTTGCTGAATATCTTATATATGCCTTGTCATTGCTTATCGTGTTTAAAGTAGGCAATGAATGGTGTTTGAACATTATTTTATGTTGTGATGTAAGAAATATATTTGAAAAGCTTTTTGTTGGAAAAAAATAATTTAGCTCATAAGGCCAGACCAATTATATTTCTTGTTTTACAGATTTTTGTCCTCAGAAAACCTAAAGTCAGGAAGGAAAAAAAAATAAGAATAAAAATAAATAAATACTAAATAAATACTAAAAGTATTTTAATTTTTGCAATTTATGAAGTGTATATGGGGCAAAACACAAATTTCTTGTAAATTTACATGTTTGACCAATAAAACCTTATCATTTTTATTTTTTGAGCGGAGAAAATTAACTTTTATGTTTTTTCTTATTCTTGAAAAAGTACGACAGGTGGATCCATAAAACAAGAAATAAAATTGGTCTGGCCTAAATATTGAAAAGTTTCAACCACAAATCCTGGTCTGTAAAAAATATTTTGTTTGTAAATGTTGAGGACATGAAATGAAGCATTCATTGTCATCATTATTTATCTTTCTTTTGGAGAAACAAATTTCTGCAGATGCACCAAACTCATTGTGTGTCCTTGTGCCTAACAAACAGTTGCCCTTGCTGTCATCCATTGGGTTTCAAATATTTACAGGCTACCACAATATAGTTCATGCACCTTGTTGTATATCATTATGAAATTAACCTGATATTCCTGTCTTGTGTAGGAGTTCTTCATACATAACTGGGTGGCCAACTGGTTAAAGTGTTAGCTTTTCACACCCATGCTCTTGTTTTGATTCCCTTACAAGTACCAGTACAATATGGGAAGCTTACCTCTAGTGTCATCCTCTGTTTTATTATAATATTGCTAGGGCGGTGGGGGTAGCCAGGTGGTTAAAGCATTAGTTCATCACGCCGAAGACCAAGGTTCAATTCCCCACTTGGGTTCAATGTGTGAAGCCCATTTCTGGTGTCCCCCGTCGTGATATTGCTGGAAGATTGCTAAAAGTGGCGTAAAACCATACTCACTCACTCACCCACTATAATGTTGCTAAAAGTTCCTTTAACTTTCCTGACTGGGTTATAAATAAATGTTGTGTAGGACAGGAGTAGAAACATGGCAAGATTCAATGTTATCCCCTGCTGTATGGGACTCACCTGTGACAACATCAGTATATATCACTGTCAACAACTGAGACACAGTTTGTAACACCTGGAGAAGTCACAGCTATTTCCGAAGTGAAATACATGTTGTCACAAGTAGGAATACATGTTGAAAAGATTGGAAAAATATATTTTTGGTACCTTCTGTTTGCTTTCAAGAAGCTCACAGGCATATGTTGAAGCTGGCTGAAGTTCCCCAAATTCCTTATATGTTTTTGAGATCCTTATTGTGATCTCTGAGTGTGCAT